AGAATAATGTGCACTGATAGTGGGGTGGGGAGGTGTGTGTGTGGGGAGAGGGGGGGAGGGAGGGGAGGATTAATTGGAAATACATTTTCAAGTAAAAGAAATGTTAACTTCTGAAATGATACACTGATCTCTTAGCACAATAGCCAGAATCCCATACTGATGTGATGGAATGGCCATAGCAATTGCGAGAACCTAGATGAACATCCTTTAGAGATAGTGACTAAAGAGGAAAGCCTATGGCAGCTTACTAGAAGGATAACACACTTGGGAAACCACATCCATCTCATGGAGGGTATATACTTTACCCAGGCCTTTAATTACCTGAACAATTTATATCACCTACCTTGAAAAGAGGAGTAACATTAGCCAGCTTTCAATATTCTGGAACCTGCTCACTATTCAAGACTTACAAAATTATAGTAGTAAGTGGCTCATAAATCTAATCCTTAACCTCCAAAACTTGTGGGTAAATATTATCTGGCCCAGGAGCTTTACAATTCTTTAAATTTCTCAATTATTTAACAAGCTCATAATTAATGTGATCATCTTGTTTTCTTCTCACAACTGTTGAAGATAGGGAATATTGCTTACAACTTCATTAGTAAAAAACTGAAGAAAAAGTAATATTTAATAAACCATATTATGCCCTGGATTTTATGTAAGCTAACTTTTAAAATGAGAATTAAAAGTTGGATTGTTTTGATCTAAATAGGTTTAATACTAATAAATCTTGTTTCCCATATTTAAGTTTACTGCTAAGACTTCAAAAAGTAATGTTACACAAACCAAATGCACATAGATTTAGACAGAATATACCATTTTAATGTAGATTAAAATGTGAAATATTTATTATACATTATTTAAGTGATTTATCATGCTGAAATAGAGAAGTCTTCACTGGTCCTACTAAATAACAAAAAAGCACAAAAGAAACTTCATTCAAGATGATTATTATATTTAATATGCAAAACTCCTATTGTCCAAATGATCTTTCTAAACATTGTCCTCAGACAAATATATACATCTGACATTTCAAAGATTTCTTTGTTTCATATTTGACGAAATGTATATGAATAAATATGCCTAAAATTGTAACTTAAGTATTTTACAAATATAGAATAAGTACTGCTTCATTATAACGCCATCAGTTATAAGGATTTCTCAGATATAATATTGTTGTGTCTTGGCTCCCAAAAATTTAGTGTCATCTGCTGCTTACTCATTGCCATGTGGCTTCAAAGGCTAACATCATTACACTCTGTCACAAAATAAAAGAAAAAAAGCAGGAAGTCCTGATGCAAGGCCCAGAGATGTGAACTTGATGTTGGGAATCAAGGTAAGAAAGGAATTTGGAAATGTGACTCGACTGTCAAAATACCAAAAAAGTGTCATCAATATAGTATTTGTAAATGACAAGTTTAAAGTCACATGGGCAGTTTTCTAACCTCTTGCATTCATGGTAACATAGAAAACTATGGGTTATCGTTGAACCCAGTGAGGATTCCATCATTTAAATTTATGGAGAGGCCAAGAAGTTCCAAAAATTGTTCATGGATAAAATCAAGATATTGGTCAGTGTCAGAGGGAAATAGAGATGTCATGTTGTTAACTACAGCAGGTTTAGTATAGCATTAATCAGACTAAAGTATGAGTCTTTTAAGTAAATAAGTGAACATCAGTGTGCTTTGTTTCTGAAATATTAGAAAGTTTGTATTCATATTTTATCTTATATTATTGTATCTTATCTAAGTTCTTTTTTGATATCTATTTTCCCTATATAAATAAACAGTTATTTTAATTATCTCTATCACTAAGGGTTCTGTCTCAGGGACCAATCTCGTAACCATACCTTCACAAAATTTTGCAGATTATCAGTGAACATTACAAGGCTTTCATACACAAAATATCAGATTTGTTTAATAAGTTTTATACATTTTTAAGTAATGATTTTCTCATGCTTTTTTCTTTTTGACTATCCAACATGCAAAGTAATTTTGATTTTAAGATTAAAAATACTTTTATGCATAAGAAATTTTCAAATTTCAGATGCAAAATCTATATAACCTTCAGATAATTATAC